GGTTCCCTGCGCTGCGGCGGGGACACCTGCGATGAGCTCGTACGTGCTCCCCACTGCTCATCACCCCCAAGGGGCTGCTTTGCCATCAAGCCAGGGCTGGGGCTGGGCTGGGTTTTCCCCCTGCCTCTGCTGAGTTTTCCCTATCTGAAAACTCCTACCGAGCTGGATTTTCGTGGTGGTTTCCGCTCAGCGACGTTTGTTGTGCGTGAAGGAAGAGGAGTAATTCTCAGAACAGCTTCTGGAGAACATATGGTGGCACGTGGCCGGAGGGCATGATGTGCCAACGTCCTCTTGCACCTGCCCAGCTGGGCAGAGCGTTTGCAGGTGACGTGAGGTGTCCGATGCTGGGGAGCCTCCTTTGGGAACCTGTCGCTCTGCCCCAAGGGGTGCACCAAGAGCAGGGGACGTTTTGGTGGCTCGCACGTGACTCCCGTGCTGTCCTGCAGCCGCTGCTTTCGCTCCTGCTCGTCCATGGGTCTCTGCAGCGCGCTTGGTCGGGCGGGCTCCACCAGGGACTTCTGCTTTCGTGGTCTCGCTGCCTCCCCTGCCGTCCTCGCTGCTCCACGCAGGGCCGGCACCTGCTCTGGGCAGAGCTGGGGCGCACGAGGCTGCGCCAGGGTCTGCACGCCGACCTCTGCGGTGGCCGCTGGGTACTTCCCCTTCAGGATTCCCAGTAAAAATCTCATTTCTAGCCTCGTGCCCACCCTGCACGCCTGTTCGGGACAGGTCCTTGTCCTCTTGTGCACCGGGACAGCCACCTGAGGCAGGCAGCGTCGCACCGCAGGAGCCGCACGCAGCTCTCCCTGCTCCGCGGATCGAACGTGCCGACGTCCCGTAGGGAGCCCGCGGGGAGGGCGGTTTCCGCGCCGGCCCCGGCGCCGCGGGGAGCCTCGCGTGGCCGCGGATGGCTGCGTTTCTCTGCCTGTGACTCACTCTCTTCCTCCCTCCCCGTTCATTCCGCAGCAACAGTTGGAGGAGGAAGCAGCCAAACCGCCGGAGCCCGAGAAACCCATCTCGCCGCCGCCGATCGAGTCCAAGCACCGCAGCTTGGTGCAGATCATCTACGACGAGAACCGGGTGAGCGGGGAAGGGGAGCGCGCGGGGGAGGCAGAGGGCACGTGGCACTGGGGAGGCCGGGGAGGCTGCGGGGGATGGAGGCCCCGTGGCGAGAGCCGGCGCAGCCGCGAGGTGCTCTGGGCTGGGTGAATTGAGCCCAGATGACTCCTCTGAGCTGGGTGAGAGCCAGGGGTCGGGGCTGATGGTGATAAATGTTAGACTGGGTGTCAGCAGCATTCAGGAGCTGCGTCAGAGCCCGGTCTGTTAAACAACTCGGTCTGTCCCTCCCTTCTGGAGGGAACCGGGTTCAAGCTGCCCCGAGAAGACGGGCAGCGCCGTGGGCTGCGTGGGTTTGAGGGCAGCCTCGGAGATACCTCCGAGCTCTCCTGGCTGCCCCTGAGCCCTGGGGCCGGAGCAGCAAGGCCATGGATTCGGCCCTGGCTGGATCCGAGGCTGTTTGGTGCTGCAAGCAGCACCAGCATTGATCACACTGGCGCCGCTGGCTCTGGATCTCTGCCTCCACCGCACGTTCGTTGCGCTCGGCCGTTGCTTGTAACGGCAGCCTGAGGGGACGTGAATTTTGCTGTGTGCTTCGCAGTGACGCTGGAAAATTGAGCCCTTTGGTAGATAATCAAGCCCATTCATTTTCATTTAGGTGTTGGATAAAAAGGATGATTTTGCATAAAAGGAAAACTACTAGTCGCTAATTATTTTGAATTGCGGAGTCTGCGATTTCCCTGGGAGCTGCAGAAATCCAGGTGCCTGCCTCCTAAACAGCACAAGCCCTGTGCTCGCAGGCAGCACGATTTTCCTGCTTTTACTTTTTGCATCTGCGCCTCTCCCTTAGCAATAGCAAAGCCAAGAGTGGCGCAGACTGTTGTGCAGGCGGGTGAGGACGGAGGTCGCTCGGGTTTAAAGCAGCAGCCAGTGGCTGGTGCTGAGCTTTGGAGGCAGGTGCCGAGGGTCCCCCTTTCCCTCCCTTGTCCCCGCGTGCCCCGTTGCCTCCCCATTGACAAGCCCCATCTGCTCCTGAAGCTGCTGCTTGAGCCAAACCCTGAGGGTTTCTGCTCTGGCTCATGGGTCATGTTGAAGAGTATGGACAAGTTAGGGGGGTTTTACATTTCTCCTTGAAGGGGAAAGCTGGTAATAATGGGAAGTCATGGTATGAAGTGCTCAGGGTTGGTGGCGTTGCTGTGTCAATGTTCTTGGTTTTGTTCCAAGTTACACTGATCTTCAAAGCCAGGTTTTAACCAGGAGCGTTTTTGCTATTAACCTTCGCAACAGGGTGCAGTCGTTCCAGGTGGGTGCTCAGCAAGGAAAGGTCACATCTGACACCAAATGTCTCTGTAACTTCGAATTTGGCTCTGTGATTGTATGTGTGATCCCCGGGCTGTCTAAATGACACTTCTTCCCTCTCCTCTGGTGAGTGCCGTTGAGAGGAGCATGTGAGCAGCCTTGTCTGTGGGCAGCAGGCTCCGACCAAGCCGTCCTTCCCTTTGGCTTGGTAGAAACCATAGTAGACTAGAGTTAAGTTCCTCCTTTGGGGAAGGCGTGATCTAGTCATGGGCTGTAAAGAGAGTCCACAGAGACTTTCTGGCCAAGGCTGAAGTTCAGTGATGAAACCTGCCAAATGGCAAGTTGTAGGAGGAAAGATGGGCTGAGAATTGTAGGCCCTGCTGCATCTGCTGTTGCTCTAGTAATAAGGTGGGGTTGAGAATATAAATGTCCTTCTAAAGAGCATCCCCACGCTCAGCTTTCAGCCAATCACCTCTGCTAGAGATGTTCAGAACAGCAGGAGGGCCCTGGTTTCCCTGACCACTGGCAGTGGATCTGCCACCTTAAGACCCTTCTTCTTCTCCTTGGCCCAAGACAACATGAAGCCAGGAGGAGGATGAGAAAACCGTGAAGAGGAAAAGGCAGTGCTGATGGAGAAGACCTCGGATGGAAAGCAGCTGCAGACAGGAGCTGAGGTTCCTTGGGTGGTTTTGGTGGCAGCAGAGCAGACCATCTGCGATGTACCCAACGGTCTGGCGAATGCAGGAAGGGCCCCGGGATGCCCTTGCATTGACGGGAGGCTGATTGCAGCTTAGCACTTAATTGAGAAGTAAGTTGGTAGGAGCAAAGGGCTGCAAAGCTCAATAGAGACGTTTTGATCAGTGCGAAAGGTCACTGAGCCAAATCTGGGCTCTCTCTAAGCCTTGGCGACACTTGTGGCTTGCAGGAGAAAAGGACTCGCCTGCCTTGAGGTTTGCTCGCAAAGAATCCAAATAAAAGGAGGACATTGAGGCCTCGGGAAGAGGCAGCACAGCAGAGCTGGCCGAGCGGGAGCGACGTTTCAAGGGGGCTGTTGTGGAAGGGCGAGGAAGCGGGTCGAGCGCGGGGCCGGGCGCCGCGGCCTGCCCGTTCCCACCGCTGCCGCAAAGCGGACACCACCTCCAGCGGCCCCGGGAGAGAGGGGTCACGCGAGGACAGAGCCGCTAGAAACTCCGGAAAATCGAGTTAGCCAGTCGCTCCGTGACCTACTTTCCGTTTGGCGATGGCTGCGGCTTTTCAGGGGTGAATGGTTGCTAATTTTAGCCCGTGGCTCATCAGGGACGTCTGTGTTTTCTCACCGCTGTGCTGGGTTTTGCAGCAGGGGTTGAAATGCAAGTTGGCATGGGCCTGTGTGCGTTTCTCCTAAAATTTAGGTTCTCTCATGATACTCAGTTCCGTCACGTTGCTTTTCCCTTTTGCGACCTACTTAACACGTGTGATTTGAAAAGTTCCTGAGCCCCAGAGAGAAGCATTCTGGAAAACTTGACCTGTAGTTCCCTCCTGCTACACTCCACTGGACAAGTAATTGGCTTCCAGAGAAAAAGAGATGCCCTCCTGCCTGTGGGTATGTGCTGACCACACACGCAGCTCGGCCTCCAGCTGCGCTGTGAAATTGCACCTGAACAAGTACCTTTTGCTGAGTGCATCTGAATACAGCAGAGTAAAACACCCCTTGCAGCCGCAGACCGAAACCTCCCCTGTGAGTGAGCGCACACTGGTGCGTAGCAAGAGGACATCCCTTCCCAGAGGGTGTCTGAGAAAGCACCTTAGTGCTTTTGGTGCTACTGGTGGGCTAAAGTAAGAATAAACAGTGGGCTGGTGTTTTTAAAACCATCTGAGTGCTATTTTTGCAGGTGACTTTAGTCCCTTGGGACGCTGAGCTGCTGGGGGTATCGGATGGCGACGGGTGTCGGGCGCTGCTAGAGGTTGGCAGCAGTGCAGGAGCGGGTGCTCTCGTAAATGAAGCTACGTGAGTGACCCTTACCTCTCCCAAGGCAGGTTCCTTCTCCGCAGGGTCCCTTTGTGCCTGAATTCGCGCTCAGCTGCTGTGTGGGGCCCTCCCCTCTTCCCACCCTCCTCATCCCGGAGATGGAGCCGTCTCCTGTTGGAGGCTTCCTTGGAGCGAGTTGCCCGGCGGTTCCATTGCCCTTGGAGCGGGTCTCCCTCTCAGCTCTGCTGGTGCAGAGGGAAAATCCGAAACGTCTCTTCCCCCTAGGAGGGCAGAGGGATTGGAAGGGTCAAGCTGACTCCATGGGGCGTTTTGCTCAGGAGCAACGCTAGGGCTTGGCTGGGGCGAGTGCCCTGTGCAGGCAGGAGAAATCCCGGGATGGGGTGGGGGCAAATCCGCTTTCCCGGAGCGTTTCCATCGCGGGCAGGTGAGGGCAGGGAGGTTCAGCGTGTCCTTCAGACGGGCACACGGCGCTTCCCTCTGCAGCAGCGGCTCCGCTTTTACCCGGGGGCCCTCCCGAAAACCTGGACTTGGTGCCGAGCCTGTCTCGCTCTGGGGACTGAGCTGCTGGAAATCAATAAGATGAAATTTTAATTCGCTTTCTGTCTCGGCGCTTGTTCCTTCAAAAGGGCACAGCGCTCTGTAAATGCAGCGTTCTGCTGTGAAATTGGAATTCAAAGGCTTGTTCCGAGCTCCTTCCACCCCCTGCTGCCGCTGTGTCTGCGCGCGCGGCTCCCGCTCACCCACCAGTGCTCAGCGAGCAGAAACGCCCGCCCGTAAATAAGGGAATAAACAAATGAACATTTTCAGCATTGCAAAGGATGATCTGGCCCTTAACTACTGAAGTGCACAGAGTGTGACTGGGATCCCATGGCGATTTTCTGTCTGTGTAACTGATTTTCTGTGGGTTCCCGATTTGCATCAGAAAGGAAAGAAGCAGCCAGGGATATCGACGGGCAACTGGTGCATTAAAAAATCCTTAGCAGTGAAACCCCGTTCGAGCCCCAAACCTGCAGGGTTTCTCCAAGTCTGGCTTATCCAGTGCCCTGGGGTGCAGGCAGGGCAGGGGACGTTGCTTAAAGCTGCTGGAAGGGCCTCAGGATTTTTGCTTTTGTTCCTAACAACTTTTACTCTGGGGTTGTCTCAGCCTGGTTTAATAATGCAGGATTTGCTTCCGAGCAGTCTCTAAAGGGAAAACTGCAGAGGCTGTAGGTTAGGTACTATTGACGTTTCTGCGTAGCAGCAAAAGGTTGCAGAAAGATAAAATTTAAACACCTAAAAACTTTGAGTGACTCAGAATCTTTCAGTTTTGCCCATATTCAGGATTTTTCTTTTGGTCCTAATGTCCTCTTGAAACATCTGCTTCAGGAGCTGGCGTTCCCAGCATTGAATTAGAGGTTTTGTCCCAGGTGAATCCTGACCCCAAAATGCAGCTGCAGGTCCTGGCACAGAAGCGGTGGCTCCAAGTGAGCCGGGAGGGAGAAACAGCCACTTTCTGGCCCGGGTCCTGCTCTGGGGTGCAGTGCCTGGAGTTTTCCCGTGGCTGCCTCGGTGCCGAGGCTCCGTGTCCAGGGAAGTTGTGGCAGTGGCTGAATTTCCCGCTCGCCTCTGCAGCACGTAAGCGTTGAGCTTAATGCAGCTGTGGCACTGCCACCTTAGAGGTGACGGGCAGGACACTGGATCCGTGTGTGTGTAGAAATGCACAAGATTAAGGAGGTCTTCGTGGCG